AGACAGATCTCTATCCGTTTCACTTGATGATACTCTTTGGAAAATGTTTTTGTTTCAGCCAGTATCAGCAGAGATGCTGGAGGGTTGCTTGTATAAGAATAGGTTTATATTCCTAAACATATGTGCGTTCTCTTCATTGTTTCTCAGTTGTGAAAAAATTAGAATAGCCAGAATGGCGGTGATTAATCACAGTGGGTATTCAGCTGAACTTCACTGCTGAAAATTTTCTCGATTGATTTGATTCGAGACGGTAAAAAAAATTTATCATTCACCTTATTAATAACAGCGGTAAATCTTTCATCATATTGTGCTTCGTTTGTGATATTTATTAGTTCATAAGCAGCTTCCTGTCTTGTTCTCAAATAATTCACGTTTTTTTTTGAATGCTTATTTCTCTTATTTGGAACATTTGGTAAATCTGTTAGGTATTGACGAAATGAAGGGAAAGAAGATTTTGACGGTTGTTTGTGATCAATGTTGGAGTCGATTGGTGATAAACACTTCTTGCAGTTGCCGTTGCAATCAGTCAATGCGTTAATGAATTCTGACTATGAGATTTTTAACCATGGAACCTGAGTTCTGATGTACTGCTAAACTCTATTTTAGAAACGCGTGAGTAGTAATTAAAACTCACAAATTTCAATCTCAAAGACCCTTTTCACAACTCGAATCAGCGAGCAACCTAATCAATCTTCATTTTATGAATTTTCATAAATATGATTTGGCAGCGACTCGTTTTTCTCTCCAATTACTCTTGAATGATGATAATTCATTAAAATTTTATGCTCTTTCATGGGGAATTGAATGCATTTTTGACGTTAGAATATCGTCTGAATGGTTTGTAAGGTGGATGAATGTTGAGAATGAAATTAATTTTATGTGACAAAATTACCGAAAACTTGTTAATATTCGCCCAGTTTTTGCCTTTTCCACTGATATCGTCTAAAATACATCGTTCAATACTTGCACGCATTTCGAACATTGGTGCGTTGTGATTCAATTGAATTTCAGTCTTTTTTTNTTTTTTTTGAGTGCGAATGTGTTCCATCAGTAAGAGATTCAAAAACGTTTTGTGTGATGTTGTATATCGTCATCATCATTATTGATGGAAAGTATGGGCGAGTGAAGAAGCATTATTCAGTTGTTAGCTTGTTGTATGCTACATCTAGGCATTGTATCGACATTCTTCACTACATCTCAGCCGTCAGCCATCCGTCTCTCGTCACCAAAACGACTGTCTATCTATCGCCCTTCGAAATCGGTCTTATGTGCAGGCAAAAAACAAGTACTGGTCTATTTTTGAAATTAGTATTAGATCTGAAGAAATTTATTCCAAATCATCTCTCTCTTTCCATCTCTAACCGTTTCAGATTTCTGTCATTTTCAAATGAAAATTCCCCGAAATCAGAAAAATGCGCCATCCAATTTGCTTGAATGCATTCGGTTTTGTTTTCGGCTTATAACCCAGTTGAACTAATCACATACCTTTTTTGAATTCCATCTCTTTAAGTATGTTTCATGAATTGATGCGTATGACCAGATTGTTGCCCACCTCTACACAATCCTTCAGGAAATCGTTATGTGAGTGTGAATTTTTCTATTTTTTATTTTTGGAATTAGTCAACCAAATATGTTTTTAATTACTAACACGCAACGTTTTCTCGTGTATGACTGATGTGAACTGTGAAGTATTGAAATTGTTGAAAACGTGATTTATTTTTAATAACTATGTCACTGAAAGATCGCTTTCTATAAGCATGATTTGTTCGTCAAATCAGTGACTTGGAGAGTAGGAGTTTATCTTTTTTTTCCAAACTCTTCTTAGTGTCTGAATCAGCATTATTATTCTGAATCACCTCTGTCTATTACTATTCCTCTTGCTCTGATTGTTTATCGATTGGTCATAGCACTTCGTGCACTTTCGAACATCCGGTTTTATCATTCAAATTGTGCATTTTTATAACATAATTGCAATTTATTCATTTCAATCACATCATCAGTTTTCTCCTATCGTTAATTATTGTAGTCTTTTGACGAATGCCACTCAATTATTGTTGAGTTTCGTTTTATACAAATTCAAACAATTTTGAATTTGAAATTTCGGCGAGCAAACATTAGTTCATATCTTTTTTTACGGCAGTCGGTTGGTTCATTTTTGCTGCCTTTCTCTCAATAACATTTTATTTCGAGTTTGTACGAAAGCGATTTGATGTGGAAAATGATTATTGCGGCCAGACAATGATTATAGGAGGCGAATTGGATATTATTAGTGAGAANATTTTCTTCTCACAAAAGTTAGATGAAATAATCGTTTTGATCACTTTTGACACACACACACAGCGAATTAGTTCAAATTTACTTGCGAGTGCCGTATGGAAGGGTTGCAACGAAAGAGGATGATGTGTAAATGAGCAATAGAATTGCATCTGTAATCAAATGTAGTTGTTCATTGACAGTTTGTCTCAATTGCTTTTGTATACTCGATGGTGACACACGCAGTCTTTTTTTTTAATTTCAAAATTAAAAATGTTCACTTCTGTTCAACGAAAGTATTGTTATTTTCCAAATCATTCGACCGTTCAGTCAATGATTTTTTGCGAGACAGCAATTAATGATTTTCACGTGTCTAAAAAGAAATTTTATGGCCAAATTTCTTCGCTTCGAATTCACATTGCCTTCTCATTGCTTTCTCACTCTTCTACATGTTCACATTTCATCTCCGCAGTCACTTTCAATCGTAAGAAAGAGCACACAGTCTCGATGTCAATTGAAGTGGTGGATCAATTTATCACTTTCATCGATTTACCACCTCTGCAAACAACCGATCAATTTATCATCTTCATCAAGATCACTTCTTCAATTACGGTTAAATTTCAGGCTTAGGCTTAGGGTCACAGATGGCCAAGGTGTCACGGAGCTCGCTCCATTTCTCGGTTGATGTTGGTTCGGCTCGACCATGGGAACATGTCTTTGTTACTGGTTCAATACCGAGTCTCGGGCTGTGGGATCCGAATAAAGCAGTTCAACTGTCACCTGATCCAAATGCGCAGTGAGTCTTTAAAATTTCATCTGGAATTACTGTCTGTTTAATTTCAAAATTCTGTTCGCTTAAACGCTGGATTGAGAGCACTACGTGTGATTTTTGCTTGCTGAGTTGCAACCTTGTATTTCATTTCTTATGTAGGGGGCGGTGGATTGGCGCGGTAGATGTGGGCAGTGAACCGGTGCATTTTCGTTATTTCACCGGATATTATCTCGATAGTGGTAAAGAAGGATGCACAAAGGTTCATTCAATTTTTTATTCATTCAAACTCGACCTCTCATCGCGTGATTGTAATTCTTTTTAAAAATACTTCTATGTGCACTTTCATAAGGATATAAATTGGATGATGCTTCGGCGAAGAGTGCAGTTATATAACGTAAACCATTTGAGGGTGTCTGATTAAAATGAATATGAATGTCGGGAATATTTGACTGTGTGAATCGAATTTTAACCGAATAGATTCCGGAACACTTTATCCAGTTTATTCATGAGCGGAATGAATAAATTTCGGCTGAATGCAGCGAACAAATGATAATTTTTGTTGGAATACTTTTATTGGTTGGCAATTGTATTGTCGATTGCTGATGGTTACTGTGTTTTATCTTTGCGAATTTGATCAGCTGCAGCCAAAATTTCGACGCAAAAAATGGTCAATAACAAACGAATGATTATCACAAATGATCAGTTGTAATGTCAACACAAATAATAGAAAGTTCATTGAATAGGGCTCGGAATACGAAGTGTTTGTTGTTGCATAAAAAGTAAACGGCAAATTTAATTTTAATTGAAAAAATATATTTGGAAATGAGAAAAGTCATCTCGAAATGATTTTTCTGTCGATTGTTAATGTGATCGCACTAAAAAGCGCATTATTGAATTTCCAAATAAAATTTATGCTAGACAATTTAATGTGATTGGGTTCTCCGCTCAGTGACCTCTAAATTCCGATTATTTGTTTTCGACGATCAAATTTTGTGCTATTTCCAGTAGAAATCGCATAGAAGAGAAATACAGCTATGCTGATATCAGCAATATTGATGAATGTGGTGACAGAAATAACAATCGTAATTGTTTGAACAATTAATGGAGATATTACCAGTTGTTTCGGTGGAGATGAGGATGAAACGATTGCAGGAGTTAATAGTGAGTAAATGGGAAACGTTCTTACATCCACGATCAATTCTTCCAGCGATTGAGTCTGCAAGTGGTGTATGTCATGCTCATGTTACTGACACATTTGGTCACAACGGTATTCACTTCGTTTCATTCTAGAACGTTGTATTTCATTAAGTGATGTTAACTTCTTGATAAATCGAGTGCATAGAATTATTGTGACTCGTTTGAAGAGGGTTTGATCCACTGATGATGATCTGAAAGAATTGACGGAATTGTACGCTTGTTTGAATAATTTGAAGTTGTTGACAATGATTTGCATGCAGTAAGCAGATAAATGAACGAATCATGAATTCAGCTGGTAAAGAACAGCTCAGAGATGGATGGTTGATGGGCGATAATCAAAATGAGATTCTACTGCGTTTGCATGGTACACCGTTCAAGTTCTACAAAAGTCGTCATGCGAATCGTTCATATCGAGTTAAAGTGACACCTTTCGATCTGCGCGTTAAAGAGGTTCATTTTCATTCGGTAGTCTATCAAAAGAGTTGAATGTCTCTAAAATAAGCGTTCATTCTGAGAAGCGTTGCCAAACATCACCGCATTGTGACATGCAATCCATGACATGTATGACTATGTATGGCTATAGTAACAACTGTCAGTTGCATGATTTCTTTGGATGGCTAATATACTATTAATAAATGATTTTACTTACCCAATTAATGCTGATGATGTCTGAGAAATCCTAATGTGTCAATGACCGCAACTGCTCACGTTCACAGCCAACAATTGCTCAAGCGGATGGTGATAATGAGATAAAATTTGATCATAAGAATTGCATGGCGTTGATCTAGTTCATCGTCTACTGTTCAGGTTTTCAAATACGATGAAAGAAGAGGTGCAGCGTGGCGTGCATGCTCACTATATAAGACTTCTGTAACGATTCGGCATTATTTAATCTGATAGCTAGACTGAATTGATTTGTTGTGCAATATAATAGTATCATTATAATGCCTAGATCTTGCGTAGACATCTCATTCTTAAAGTTGCGTGATTCAGACGTATGACGGACGTTCTGTTGTTCGTGTTCTAGTTGCTTTAGTTCTAGTTCAATGAAAACTTCGCAAACGTCGATTCGAATGCTTGTTCGTTGCCTTCGACTTATTTGCATGTGTCTTCATCCTTTTTTATGATAACGCCATCTGTTATGTATGGTTGAGAGTCATTGTTAGTTGTAGATGTACATTTACGAAATGATTCGCGATTGTATTGTTGACGTTTTCAGGCGGGTAGTGCAGACGACGATGATCTAGATGACGGACAGGAACCTTATGTTCCACCTGCGCTGCCGTCCTTCTCAGATTCATCTCTTGCGGTCAGTCGCACATTCAGTTACCGTTTCTCCTTTTCAACTATTCACTCGATTACATCGCTACAAAAAAATCCACATTCAGATCGTTTCAAAAATAGTCAGTAAACACACCATTCGAGTCTGATCTTTCATGAGTTATTTTGGTTGAATTTGAAGATTCTCTCNTGGTTGAATTTGAAGATTCTCTCCTCCGACAATCCATGCTATCGTGATCAACCGGAGAATGGTGAACCGTTTCGTGTTGATCGAGATTATTTTGTTTTCAAAACAATTTCGGTTGCAGTCGAATTTCTGGTCGGTTTGATTAATATGAAATTGTTTCGTATTGATATTCATTAAATATTTCTCAGTGTGTTTCATTTCTATAAAAAATCGAACGCTGCCTTCAAAGTTGTTAAAAATGAACGACGAATATTTATTTTGTAGGGATTTCGTGTCGAGTTGTTCGTCAATGATGATGAAAGTGAAAATACAACAAATTCGTACAAACGTTTTGCTATCTCATATGCCCTACCGTCCACAATGCCTGGCACTTTCGGTATCGCGTCGTTACCATTACTTGCTAAGAGCAATCGACCTATTGGCCAGATCATGGGTATTTTCTTTTATCTCATTATTCTCACCATTTACTATTCCTTTTTGATGATTCTTCGTACCTCGACAATTATGCATTAATTTCGCAAACGTCGCGAGCTCATTCAATTAGCCTCCGTAAATACGCATCTCAAATCCCCATCGCTTCGTATTGATCATTCGGGATTTCCTCATCCAGTGACTCGCCTAATTTCAGTTGATTATTTATTCATTCAATCGCTAAAGCAACCAGTACCTCCACAAACGATGCGAGTTACATATGGAAAACATTGGAAGAAGAGGCAAACATTGGAAGTAGGTCATCGTGGAATGGGCAATTCATATACGAAGTCTGATTTTGAATTCTTTTCTTTTCGAATTTTTCTTTCTGAATTGGTAACGACGTTTGATTATGACATCATATCTTTGTCTTATATCTATCTGTGTATTTATATTTGTGAAATATATTTAGACCACAGCAGCACGATAAAATCAGTACGGCAGTTATGTGGGTAATCACAGTAAAGAACAACAGTGATGCAAGAATCTAGCAACATCGTTAAGGCCACAAACACATTACATTGAATGTAGCGCATGCATTGACCGTGATGATACAGTTACGAAAGCATGCAGATCGAGGATCATTTTTCACATGAGCTTTACTGTTGACGACTCACACAGTATTTATCCGTTCAGCGATCACTGAGAACAAGATTTATTTATTTGAAAATTTGCTGAAGTGAATGCATAAGTAGAATTAAAGAGATGGATAGGCGCACTGAATAGGAAGGTTGTATAACCAATTTCGAATATTGATCAACTTCAGGAAATGGTCATGCTGACTAACATCAAAGCAAAGCTGACCTTCTTCATCTTGACGTTTGTGCGAGAGGGCGGATTTGGTTGAAATAATAATCAAATAGTCAAATTATCCTCAAATCATTTCCATGAAACCTCCTAATCAAAATCAAAACTTATGTCGATGTCCTAAAATTTTGGTGGGGAAATATGTTGACAGTAGATTCCAGTGTTGAGTTGTGCCAAGGTTGATATATTCCCAAAATAAGTGGTTAATACTCTTCAAAAATATGACTGTTCAGTTTTGATCTTTCATGGTAGTCTCTTTTTTTGTAGCATTACAATGTTTGAATAGGAGGTTTTGTGGTGAACGCGAAATTTTATCGTAAAATTAGGCACATTTTAGTTGAACATGTGAATCGTTGGCCATTCCCGTTACCTTTTCATCGTTTCGGTGCCAAACGTGTGTTCTGCTGAAATTTCGTCCAATATCCGAATGTTCTATTCTCTCAAACACTTTTCAGGCGCTATGGAAGTGCTGTTTAATGTGAATGAACGGTAACTTTTGATAGGCTTAGGGATTAGTATTATAGTGTCAATAATTCCGTACAGTGGTACAAAATGAATTTAGAATGGCTGCGGGCCGCGAGAACACAATCCATTCGCTCAACTCGGCTGCAAAAAACGGAGCCGATTATGTGGAGTTTGACGTGCAACTTACTAAGGATAAGGTTTGGCGCATTGATATAAAGCGCTACATTGATCACATCAAACTAATACCCATTCCATGTCCCATCCATCCTAATACCATCGTCCCTCCATCCACTCACAAACCGTTATGGAAATCCACTTATCCCTTCTGCTCAAAATGCATCGATATGCATTTGTTTTCAATTGGCTTCATTTGAACGATCCTCAAAAAAACATGTATTCCATCTGACGCTTTGAATCTGCACTTCATTCGTGTCCATTTAAAAAAATTGGTCCGCAGTCATCTTTTCTCGGTTTCTTTGAAAATTCTTCGTCGGCGAGTTGATTTGGAAATATTGCCTTCTTGAGTGATATTTTAACTCGATTTCTTTAAACATTCTCAGGAATGGGAAAATTTTTCCAAAGTGGAAACGTGCTGCCCATTTTCCAGTGTGGTTCATCATTGAAAACTTCTTCCCGACTTGGTGGTAATTTTGATTTCGGTGCAAAAATGCGTTGAAGTTATTGCAATGAAGCAATTTTCCAATCCACTATTCGTTCGTGATGATATTTTAATAGGAATAGAAATCTTTTTATGATGGACTTATTGTCACTCAGTGTTACACCATTCAGGTTACTATACGAAGAGATCTATCTGCTACCGAATTAGTAAATTGATGAATTCATTTTTGTTTAAGTTCTCAATTTTACCATCTCCATTGTTAAAATCGCTCAGTGGAGGTTTTATTCTATTTTCGAGCAGAGATGCGGATGATCTCTTCGAAATGCGATATATTAGAATATGTAAAGGACCAGAAGAAGGTGTATGTTCATCTCTAGTGTTTCACCGCTAACAGAATCTAATTCAGATTGCGGTGATATTTCACGATTTCCATGTGCTCGTTAACGTTGCTAAAAGAAAGCCGCATCATCTGGGATCAGAATCACAAAACGATTATCACGAATTAGCTGTGAAGGACTTGAAACTGAAACAGCTCCATTTGCTGCATGTTTGTAATTAGCTTTTCGTTGTCTTCGTCCTCTCATCCATGCAATGAAACACCCTTCAACGAGTGCACAAAAACGTTATTAAATGATATGAAACCAATATGACCATTTTCAGCTGGAACATTATCAAGCAGTGAATGGGGTCAAGAAAGAGGGAATATTGAAAGTGACTGATAGTACTGAAGAGGCGGATGAACGTATGCCGTTTCCAACGTTGGTTGATGCGTTAAAGCAGGTTGATCCTAGTGTTGGATTCAACGTCGAAGTTAAATATCCGATGATGCAAAAGGTTATTCACTCTTCTCGTCGTTCCTCTTATATTAGTATCGTCAATTTGCAGGGAAATGTGATCTTGAAATTGACTATTTCAGAATGGTATTCACGAGTGTGAGAATTATTTCGAACATAATACGTATATCGATATAATCTTAAGAGACGTATTGGTGAATGCGGGTGATCGTCGTATCCTTTTCTCGTCGTTTGATCCTGATGTGTGTACGATGTACGTTTAGTTTTTGCATTTTNCTATCAGTAAACAGCGTAATCTGGCAGCGATTTGCTCGTTAAGCAGAGATATATTTTATTAATATTTCTTTGAAATCTTGATTGAAAACATCAATGTTCTGCTCGAACCATAAACTATTCCTTTAACTTTGAAAATGGTGTAGTAATAATTAGGATGGCAATAATAATAGTAATCATAAAATTGTTAAGTCTCGCTGCAAAACAACACATTTACCCAGTACTATTTCTGTGCAATGGTCTGACGACCCGCTATGAGCCATTCGTTGATTTGCGTGCATCAACATCTACCGCTGCCGTTAACTTCGTTGCTAGTCTAGATACATTAGTAAGTTTTTTAATGGCATCTTCCTCATGTGCAGTTGCGTCGTTGATACTTGAAATAATAATATTTAGCTGCTACTCACCTTAATGTTGATCAATATTTGAGGGTGTAAATTTCCATTCGGAAGATCTTTTGCGTGATCCATCGCCACTGTATCGCGCCAATAAATTTGGATTGGTGTCGTTCGTTTGGGGTGATGATTTGGATAGTAAAGAAAACATCGCATATTTCAAGAAAGAACTCTTAGTTGATGGCATCATTTACGATCGGTTTGTTTCGCAGTTCTCATCTTCATTTCTATTCTTCGGTTCACTATACTTTCGGCAGAATGAATTACTCAGCCATTCAGTCAATATTTCGATCGTATTTATTTTTCGAAGGCATTTTTCTGGTGCACTTTGATTATGATCAGTATAACAACCGTCAAGCCTCTCGTTGAACTCGCTCGCTAACTTTCGACATCAAAATAACTGAATGATTGGTTTGATTCGATGTTGTTAATGTATTTCATTAATTCACATGGAATGCATTCCTTCTATTAGAAGCATTCTATGGATGAATTCGTTTCGTTAATTTATTTCACTGGAAGAATGTACACAGCTAACGATGTGATTATTCTGAATCGTTGTTCGTGGTCTTCTAAGGACGTATTGTGTGGTTTGCTGAGGAACCAATTCTGAAGAGTTCCAAAATTGTGCGAACATTAACTAATTTGTAAACCGCATTTTTTAATTGGTAGTTATTCGATTGTCCATTGAAACTCACTTGTTCGTTCAGCAAAATAGTGAACATCTGGCTGGAAGGAAGGTGACTGAACATGTTGTAAACTCATTCACACAGCCAGAATTATTTTAGAGGGGCAGAGGGCCTGCTGCCAGAAAACAGCTGATTTTTTGAATGGGTTTTTTCTATGTTTATTTTTGTGTTTTCTCCTTTCCACTTTCTTCCCCCTTTTACCCCTTCTTTATCCTATTTCCGAACCTCCTGTGACCTTTTCGGGCGCGCCTATA